CTCCTTCACGGGTACGCTGGTGCTCCAAGATGGGGGTGGTACCTGCAAAAGAGACTCCGATGCTAAAGTTAGTGTTTGTGGGAGTATGAATCTCGTATATGTAATGCATGTACCTTAGTGTGAATTAGGGTTGTTTTGGGCCTTGGGCCTGAGATAAGATATGATAGGATTAAATGATGGATCCCTTCTGAAGCGAGATCGCTCGAGATCGGTTACGATCTGCTTAAATGTCGAGCTGAGGTTGCGTAGCGCGTGCCTGACCTCGTTTTGTGCAGTGATGCCGAGCTCGGAGCTCGGCTTCTCAGTACGGACAGTACACTAGCCCCCCGAGCTCCGAAGTCCGTAGGATGAGGAGTTAAGACCGAGCTCGCCGGGGGGGAGTGACCTTTCGCGTACTTCTGCCTGTGAGATGCCATGTGTCGCAATTGTTCATTTTCCAAAAGCGTGCAAGTGGCGCGTTAAGGGAAATGACGGTTATGCAATGATGGCTTTGCAATTAGTGTGTTGTCAGGCGTGCCCTTAGGTCGACACGTGGCATGGCCGTTTTGAATTTTGAGAGAAAACTTTTCTTTCCTCTCACTCGTGCCTCTTCACCTCTCACTTTACTCACTTTTCGCTCTTTCAGCTTCTTGCGCACGCTGTTTCTCTCGCTTTTCTGCTCGTCTTCCGTCTCCACTTTCTCCGTTTTTGCCGTCATTTCCGGTAACCCAGTCATTGTTAGGGTTGTTTTTTGAAGGTGAGTACCAGGTACTTCCTTTCTACAGTCTTCTTTTTCCTTCTTCCCCAATCTTCTTCAAGTTTTTCTTGTTTTTTCCATGGCTGGGGGGAGTAGTGCCAGTTCTTCTGCGCCTTCTCAGGGCAAGGCGCGTGGTAGGATGGTGGCTACCGGGAGAGCCGCCGCCGAGAAGAGGGATCTGCCTCTGCCCCGGAGCCCGGAGCCAGGCGTCCCTGGCTACGACTGGGTCAAGCGTGAGATGGCGGGGGTCCAAAGTGTTTTTCGGTCCTTTCTTGAGGTTAACGGGATCCCGCGGTCGTGCAGGGTTTGTGACCCTTCTATTTCTCGGATGATCCGGCTTGAACCTTGTCAGGCTGGTGAGGGTGTGTACATGGGGAAGTCTACCGACCCTCCCCATTTCTATATGTATCATTGTTTCTTTAGAGATTTAGGTGTCTGTCTTCCCTTCACTCAGTTTGAGTGTGATTTTTTGAACTTTGTCAACTCGGCTCCTTGCCAGTTGCACCCCAATAGTTGGGGTTTTTTGAGGGCTTTTCAAGTCCTGTGCACAGTTTTGGGGATAGAGGTGTCTCTTCCCGTCTTCGTTCATTTTTTTCAATTGAAGGTGGGCGTTCCGCCATACGGCATATTGTCTCTAAGTGGGAGTAGGGATGGGGGTTTGTTTACTCTCTACTCCCAGTCGTACAAAAATTTAAAACAAGAGTTTTTCGAGTCGCTCTTGTGAACGTTGACCCCTTGGAAGATGGGGCGTTTTATTTCGGGGGGCTGCCAAGATTTCCCTTCTATTGGTGCCCCAGACCTTCTAGGTTTCATGGGGTGGGCCAATTGAAGCTGACTGCTTCGGAGGCGGCCACCATCGAGAACCTCGCCGCGCTTCCCCGTCCGCTGGATTGCAAGCTCGTTCTGTCGCTTGCGAACTCGGTGTTCAGAGAGAGAGGTTTGGAGAGTGAGTATTTGATTTTTTGGTGGTTTGGGGGTTTGTGTAAATTCCACTTGCTGATGTGTTTTATCTCGTGAATGCAGGCATCATGGGGAAAAACTTGTGGCGTGAGCTGAAGCACCGCTACAATGTTACCGAGCTCGAGGTCCCCGAGTCTCGGGAGGAAGATGCCTCCCCTCTGAAGGTTAATCGAAAGAGAAAGAGGGGAGCAAAGGAGGTCGGGGGAACCTCTGCCCCTCCAGGTGCCGAGGAGGTGACCTCCAAGGCTGCTGATGCTGGTGCGGTGGACCTTACCGACAGTCCACC